TATTTGTTGTTCATAATTTTTATCTTTATTTACTTTCTCTTCTGAAAGAACCCCCTTCAGCAATTCATATAATTCTGGTTTGGTGTTGATGAACTCCTTTAGCTTTTTTTTATTAGTGAAGCTCTTTATCTGACCTTCGATTCTGAGTAATAGCTTTGCTGGATAGATTATCTTTGGCTGTAGGTTCTTACTATTCATCACCTTGAATATTTCTTGCCATTCCCATCTGGCCTGCATGGTTTCTGTTGAGAAATCAGCTGAAAATCGTATAGGTGCTCTTGCTGCTTTTAATATTCTCTCTTTGTCTTTTGCTCTTGGAATTTTAATTATGATTTGTCTTGGTGTGTTCCTCTTTGGATTCCTTTTGTTTGGAGTTCTGTGTGCTTCCTGGACTTGTAAGTCTAATTCTTTCACCAAGTGGGGGAAGTTTTCTGTCACTATTTCTTTCAGTATGTTTTCATATCTTGCTCTCTCTCATCTTCTGGAACTCCCATAATTCTGATATTGGTTCACCTGAAGTTGTCCCAGAGGTTTCTTACATTATCTTCAATTTTCTGGATTCTCTTGCCTTCTGTGGAGGAGTGTTTTCTGGCTCTTTATGTTCCAAATCTTTGACTTAATTCTTGCGATCTTCCATTCTGTTTTTAGGACTCTGTATAATATTTTTTATTTCAGACAATGTATTCTTTATTTCTTGTTGATCCCTTATCATTTCTTGTTGATCCCTTATCATTTCTTGTTGATTCCTTATTAACTCTAGTTGATCTCTTTTCATATCCTCATAGGTCTTGTCGATCTTTTCTAGGAAATTCTTGAAAAACCTTATAAGAGTAGATTTGAACTCTACATCCAGTAGCTTTTTGTCCTCCATTTCTTTCGTTTGTGATCTATTTCGTTGTCGCATTTCGCAGCTACAGATGGGGTGGAGTTTCAGGGTGGAGCCTACAGCCTTGGCTGTCAGCCCTGCCCTATGCGGTTCCTGGGTCTCAATATTCCCCAGGGTCCTTCAGTACTTGTTGCAAGCGCTTCTGAGAGAAAGGTGCCCTCCATTTTCGCCTGCTACCAAACAGTCTAGGCTCTCCCCCCATGAGCCTGGAACTGGGGTTCAGTTCAGTTGGTAGTGGGATTGGAGGTGGCATTCAGAGCAGTCTGGAGCCCCTGTCTCCTTCCCACCAGGGCAATCCCGTGGCACAGCCAACTGTCCCTTCTCTGCGCGCAATGTGCGTGCCTCTGGGACTTCCTTTCGCCGCTCCCCCGGGGTTCCGCCTTACAGCCCAGCTCCCTCTGTTTGAGCCTGGGTCCCCCGGGTCTGGCCTAGAATTGGGGTTCAGAGCAGTCAGAACTGGGGCCCAACAGTCAGAGCTTTTATCTCTTTCCTGCTAGGGAACGCCAGCCAGGCACTCAACCACCCCTCCTCTCCGGCTCCGTCCTCTTCGCTCGTGTGCCATGTGTCTCCGTACCTTAGGCTTTTATAGCTCCTCTGCTCTTCCTTCTGGTTTTCTCCTTGCTTCTCATTGTAGAATTTCCAGTCAGTCGGCTTTCCTGTAGTTCTGGGTAATGTCCATTTTATATTTTAGTTGTATTTTATTGAAATTGTTGTGTGCTGCTGCAGCTAGGTGTTTACCTGGGCAGCCATCTTGGATCTGTCCTCTTTTATATCTATCTTGATCCGTCCGAGTGACGGACTAGGAGCGATGAAAATCCTTTAGGGGGGAGAGATCAAAAGCGCAGAGAACAAGTGAGATCGAGAGACAGGACAGTAGCAGAGCATGGTACCTTGTGTGGTCCCGTGCCGTCAGGTAGATTCTCTTTGGAGGATTTCATCGGCGTGATGAAGGGCCGTTCTTGCTTGCGTTCTGGCTTCTCTTTCTTTCTTTCTTTCTTTCTTTCTTTCTTTCTTTCTTCTTTCTTTCTCTCCGTCCCTCACTTCCTTCTCCTCCTCCTCGTCCTGTCCTCGTCCTCCTCTTTCTTCTTCTTCTTCTTCTTCTTCTTCTTCTTCTTCTTCTTCTTCTTCTTCTTCTTCTCCTCCTCCTCCTCCTCCTCCTCCTCCTCCTCCCTCCTCCTCTCTCTCTCTCTCTCTCCTCTCTCTCTCTCTCTCTCTCTCTCTCTCTCTCTCTCTGTCTCTTCCAATAGAACATTTGTTTAGGATAAGAGCTCTCTTGAAAATTCTTTTAGATTTGAAAGGCCAGATCTTCAAAGATGTACCTATTTCAATTGTGACTACATACCAATAAGCCTTTTATGGCTTATTCATAGACACAAGATCTGTCTCCAAAAAGTGTACAAAAGATGCAGATTTCTCAAGATGCAGAGCCACTCCAAAGATAGCCCAAGAAAGCAAAGACTTCATTGTCACAGGTAGTAAAGACATTTCTATCTCCCACAAAGTGAGACACCTTAAAACACAGACCCATTCATTCGTGTTACTGGAAAGAAGATACTGGATTGGGAATTTTTCCAGCATAAACAAGGCCACAAAAGTAGACATCACAATGGTTCTTTATATACTTGGACTCTTTATTAAGATCAACTCTCCAGCTTGGCTGACATGGCTCAGTGGTTGAGTTTCGACATATGAATCAGAAGGTCATGGTTTGATTCCCTGTCAGGGCACATGCCCAAGTTGCGGGTTCTGTTCCCAGTGAGAAGCATGCAGAAGACAGCTGATCAATGATTCTCCCTCATCATTGATGTTTCTCTCTTTCCCTTTTTCTTCCTCCCTGAAAAATAAATAAATAAAAATTAAAAATATATATATATATACATATATATGTATATATATACATATATGTATGTATGCATATATTATATATGCATACATACATTTATATTTTTTTATATATATATATTTTTTTAAAAAAAATTTTTTTAAAGGACATACTCTCCAGAAAGCTGGCACATTTAGACAAAGATAATGCTGCTTTTCAAGTCTTAGGTTCCTAGACAGCTGGCTAGCTGGCTGCCTGATGCAAGCTTGACAATGAATGCTTCTCCCCATCAGAAAGTGGCAGAAACCAGAGAGTATTCTCACTGGTTACAAACCCAAGTTTTCAGTACATAAAATAAGACAAATGGAGATGCTCATCTTATGATTTTCATGTTTATTAAAAATGACACAAAAGACAGAGACAAAAGAAAACCTGTTTCTGGCAAGCTAAGAATCAGTAACTTATGAATGCCCCAAAGCAAATTTATAAGAGTCATAATTCAAGATCTATTTTTAAAAATGGTTTTCTCTTGCCATTATAAATTTGGAAAGGAAGACACAAGGAAAAAACTCCTCTTTTGACTGTAGTCCGATATGTGACATTGACATGGTAAGAATTCTCACCTTCTGATGTCTGTTGTCACTTATCCCATATCTCAACTGCAGTCCCTGGGAAGCACAGACTATCCCAGTCTTTTTTTTTTTAAATATATTTTATTGATTTTGTAAAGAGAGAAAGGGAGAGAGATAGAGAGTTAGAAACATCAATGAGAGATAGACATGGATCAGCTGCCTCTTGCACACCCCCGACTGGGGATATGCCAGCAACCAAGGTACATGCCCTTGATCGGAATCGAACCCGGGACCTTTCAGTCCCCAAGCCGACGCTCTATCCATTGAGCCAAACGGGTCTTTTGATGTCCCATCCTCATTGTCAGAAACTGTACAGGAGGAAAAAAATCCCATCCCTTCCACCCTTTTAGGGTTTCAGTTGGAACTTTGTAACAAAAGACAGATTAACAAGAAAAAATAAACATGTTTATGAACATGCACATCTCATATATGCTTGGGGAGAAATGCAGGTTTGAGTAACTCCAAGAGGTGGCTAGCACTTGGGTTTTTATAGCATCTTCACCAAGAACAATACATTTTTAGAGAAATGACAAGACAGGAAAAGAGCCTTAGTCTTCCAAGGGCAGTGAACCGAGGGAAGCTAAATATATGGGGAACTAACAGAAGATAACAGCCAGTCAGTCAAGTTTGTTATGTGCTGCCTCAGGGCTGACACGCATCTATTGTTGTAAGCTATTGAGTTCTGTACAATTTCCTGTTCTCCTTCAGGTACATAGTATAGAGAGCTTTTTGTGGGTCTGTTTCTTCATAATTGCCTTCAGCTCAAAATAATCTTTCTGGCAAAGGGGCAGGTTTCAAAGCAGTATATTCTGCTATTCTGTAGATTTCATTATAAAATCGCCCAACTTTATAATGCCCTTATGTTTTAACATGGAAATCTGAGGTAAGGCATTGTTGATAAGGGTTAGGGATGTTATTCACATAAGGCTTATTTATTTAAAAAATCATAGTAGTAAAAAACATTAAAGTAGACTGGCTGGTGTGGCTTGGTGGTTGAGCATTGATCTATGAAGTCATGGTTCGATTCCTGGTCAGGGCACATGCCTGGTGTAAGGGCTCGATCCTGTGAGGTGTGCAGGAAGCAGCTGATCAGTGATTCTCTCTCATAATTGATGTCTCTATTTCTCTCTCTCTCTCTCTGAAATCAATAAAAAATATTTTTTAAAAATTTTACAAAAACATTAAAGTAGAAATCTGGCTGGGTAACATCATGTTGGTGCTATATACCTATTAAAACGACAGACAAGGTGTCACCTTCTTTTATGCAGAGTACATATAATAATTTTATGTTGAAAAAGATGAAAACACCATGTGAATACATACAAAACAATTTAATGAAATGAACATTAATGAAGAATCAGAGCTCATTTTCAGTTTGTATAAAGTGTTCATTTGTGTTGTTTTGGGGGGTTTTTTTTTTTTCTTTAGAGTTGCTCAAATTCATAAAAATAGAAGAAAGTTCCTGTTTTGAAAACAGTGCTAATACCAATTCTTTCTGAGCCAGGTCTTTAATAAACAATGTCATTTCATCAATTTCCTGTGGATTAATTCTTTTAACCTTTAGAAGTCACTGAACCAAAAAATTGTTCCCGTTTTCCACATATCTCGAGGGGTAGAGCCTTCACACCACCAGGAGGAGAAGGAAGTGAAAAGGGGTTAAATACTGGGGCCAGCCTACCCTGGCCAGCTGAGCAGTCTGGCTTCACAGTCAACATGAAGGCTCTCCTGACTCTGGGGCTTCTCCTCCTCTCTGTGGCCGTCCAGGCCAAGGTCTATGAGAGGTGTGAGCTGGCCAGAACCTTGAAAAGACTTGGACTGGATGGCTACAAAGGAGTGAGCCTGGCAAACTGTAAGTTAACTCTCCATACTTCCACATAGCCAGCCAGGTGTGCAACAGATACTAATGGAGGATGAATAATGAGAAGTGGGATTTGCGTGAACGGGCTTCTTTAAAAAAGTTAGTTGAGGATTTGTATACTTAAAATGGTTTTAAATATATATCAACTTGTTTCTTTAGAACCAGAAATGCCAGATGAAGAGATGAGGGCACGGAGTGCAAAATTCTGCACCATTCTAAATAAACTGCCACCCATTGTACTCTTTGAGTGCTACCAAGCCTGCCATTTGCCTCAGACTCAGGGGACATGCAGGCTGACTGTACATTTGCGCACCAGAGCAATCTCTGCCAGGTGTTTGGTACTTGACTCCAGCTATTTCCCATGTGGAACTTGGGCTCTGTGAGCCTAGAATAATGCAGCGTTTTTCTCTTTCTTAATGCCCCTACATGACATGAAGCAAAGTTTTGTTTATTCAATTATGTTGAAATCTCAATACAGGGATAAGTAGGAAGCTATTTCCCCCTCAATCACTGTTTATGTCAGGATCCCTGAAATGCAGCATGAAATGCCATTTCATTATTCTTGCTTGTTCTAGTTGATTAACTGTTTTCATTTTTTTCTATGCAACCCAAGATGTACCTGTAAAAAGTTACTTTGTATTTTAGCCCCTTTGTGTCAATGTTATCACTGTATGTTTAGGTTGAATTCAAACACTTCCCCTTAATAACTATTTTTGAATGCATGAGTGAATAGTTTGATGGGTATATGGATGGACTATGAAACAGTCTTTCCTGTCCTATATCTTTATACTTATAAAGTAAGTCATTAGTGAAATAAAATTAGCTATATAGAACTGATTATGGTATGCAGTATAAGTCATATGGTGTTGCTATTTATTACTAAAAGCATGTTCTTTTTCAGGGATGTGTTTAGCCAAATGGGAAAGTGATTACAACACACGAGCTACAAACTATAATCCTGGAAGCAAAAGCACTGATTATGGGATATTTCAGATCAATAGCCGCTACTGGTGTAATGATGGCAAAACTCCAAAATCAGTTAACGCCTGTGGCATATCCTGCAGCGGTAAGAGAAAGTAATGTTTAAGTGATGGCACAGGACCCAGCTGGCTATGCTTACAAGAATAGAGATTCAACACAAATGAAAAGGTTTTCAAAGATGCAACAGGAACCTAGAAAAACTCCATCTCACCCTGGCTGGGTGGCTCAGGTGGTTGGAGCATCATCCCATACAACAAAAGGTTTCAGGTTCGAGTCCTCGACAGGGCACATACCTAGGTTGTGGGTTCAATCCCTAGTTGGGGTGTGTATGGGAGGCAACCAATTAATGTTTCTCTCTTTCTCTCTCCTTCTTTCTCTAAAATTAACAAAAAACAAACAAACAAACAAAACACATATCCTCAAGTGAGGATTAAAAAAAAAGAGGTTGCCCTGACTGGTTTGGCTCAGGTTCAATTCCAGTCAAGGGCATGTACCTTGGTTGTGGGCACATCCCCAGTAGAGGGTGTGCAGGAGGCAGTTGATCCAAGTTTCTCTCTCATCCATGTTTCTAACTCTCTATCCCTCTCTTTTCCTCTTTGTAAAAAATCAATAAATATATATATTTATTTTTATGATTTTATTTTTTTTTAAGTCAGAGGTCACTCTGACTTTTTAAAAAAATAAAATCATAAAAATGAAAATATTGGAGAAGTATTATAAAATTGATATCATTAAATTTCTAAATGTTAAAATTCTAATAGAAAAGATTATTCTTAGAATATTCTTTTGTATCCAGTTAATTTATTTTAAAAATATTTTGTATTATATAATAATCTGTGGTCACTGAATAAAAATTCTTACTATCAAGAGATTTATGACTACTAGTAACTTTTGATATATTGTTCTAGATAAAATATATATCAATCATATATGTGAATATAAAGCTATGTCATGTACAAATATACCTACACACAAACATGTACATAATGTGTGGTGTTTTTTATGGTTTTCATTATTATACTGACTTTGGAGAGAGAGAAGGGAGAGGAAGAAACATCAATGTGAGAAATATGGATTGGCTGCCTCCTGCACTCTCCCTCCTGGGGATTAAGCCCACAATCTGGGCATGTATCCTGACCAGGAATCCAACCATGATCTCCTGGTTCATGGGTTGATGCTTAACCACTGAGCCACACCGGCCAGGCACATGTGTTTTAACAAAAATGAAATTATACTATTATACTGCTTTACAATTTGTTCTTTATCACATAAAATTATTTATATATTAACAAATACCAGCCTTTATTATTTTAGCCTAAGAGAATAAAATGGGTAAACCTAAACTTAAAATGAAATGTCTGTGAAAGTTGTCTTCATTCTTCACCACCTGTTTTTCAGTTTTGCTTCAAGATGACATCACTCAAGCTGTAACCTGTGCAAAGAGGGTTGTCAGGGATCCACAAGGCATCAGAGCATGGTATGTGTAAGCGTTAAAAGGGAGAGCTTTTTTGCCCTGTGTTAGGAGAGAGGTGAGAGAAGATTTTCAAGGATGCTACTGAGAACTGAAAGTAGTAGCTTTAGACATATGCTAAAGAAAGTATCTCTTAGAAGCAATCTATTTCAAGGGATTCAGAATATTTTTCTCTTACTCCTCCATTAATTTGGGGGATTTATAGAATTTTTAAGATTCTCCACACTCTACCAGTTCCTTGTGCTGTTTTGAAATGTTTGGAATGAGGTAAATGTAGAATGCACTTTGCAGTAACTGTTAGGGAATGCAAGTGTCTCTCGTGGTCAGCATGCTATGCTGTAGCCAAGTCTTTGGGGAGAAGTGAAGTATTTGGTGTACATATGTCCATTTAATAAGTAGAAATGGTCATAAGCTATTAAATACCTGGATCTAATAGCCTGTATTTCATATAGTGTTAAAATAGTTTGTCCTCACAAAGGATTTGATGTTCATCTATCACAATGAAGATGTACTTTAACCTTATCGCCATTTTTTTACACCTTTCCCTACAGGGTGGCCTGGAAAACTCACTGTCAAAACAAAGATCTCACTAAGTATGTCCAGGGCTGTGGAGTGTAACTGGACAGCTTTCCTTCTTCAGCTCCTCTTGTCTCCTTTTCATATCAAGGGAGTAGTAGTTGAGTAAAAGTTCACACTTCTTTCAAATAAACAATGATTTTACAGAAGCAGGAGCAAATATGGTCTTTCTTCTAAGAGGCTAATGTTGTCTAACGTGTTAATTATTGGGTAGTAAGTCTACAACATGTTTCAGTGTGCTGATGGAGCTAAGGCTGGTGAAAATTTACCTAAAATTTTATTACCAAATACATCTCCAGGACCTTCAGTTCTTAATCAATGACTTCATCTTGAATGACACCAGTATTTCTCAATATTTGATAAATATGTAACAATAGACTATCTTAAAACACATTAATATTGGGCAAAATCTTAGCTGAGTAGGCATTTGATGTGTTCATTTGTTCATTCGTCTCCCAAACAGTAAAAGATAACCATTCTTTGTTGGGCAATATCAAATTGACAGAGGAACAGAATGCCAAATAGCTGAAAATGGACACAGCTTGCATTAAGAATATTATTTTTATTAAGAGTGATTTTTGGTTTAAATGCTTTCTTAGAAATGTTACAACTTTAAAATGAACTCACAATTTATATATCAATCTACTTTAGCCCTTTAAAAAACTTTTTTAAGGTGCCCGGCTAGCTCAGTCGATAGAGCATGAGACTCTTAAAAAACTTTTTTATGTTTCTTGCTAATCATAAAGGTATATATTAAGAAGGGTTAGATTAGCTGTTGCTGTTTCTTAATTTTATAAGCTTAGATTCATGCATAATGACTAAAGCTGGAGGCAGATGAGCTTGAAAGTATTGAAATAATTGCTAATTAACCACCAGTGTGAACTTATCATGTTACAAAAAAAAAATAAACATTTTTCACTAAAGCACTCATACCTTGTCTTTCTCAGTGTGAAAAAATATGACTTAGCTCTCTTAATATATCTCACCTGTACCCAAACAGGTTATATTGCTGGGGAAAAAAGCAACAACCCTCAGGCATGCTGACAAATCTAACTGTAAATTCATAACCACACCTGCCAGTGTTTCTCAGTGATTGAGCGTCGACCCATGAACCAGGAGGTCAGGGTTCAATTCCCAGTCGGGGCTCATGCTTGGGTTTTGAGCTTTATCCAAAGTAGTGGGCATGCAGAAGGCAACCAATCAGTGATTCTATCTCGTCGTTGATGTTTCTCTCCCTCTCCTTCTGTCTGAAATGAATCAAAATACATTTAAATTCATAACAACAAATCTCAGATGGCCCTTAAGTCTGCCAGGCCATTTTAGTCACCAGTCTGCAATCTTTCTGGATTGGTGTCTGTTGGGAGCCAAAAAAGAATTGGCATTAGTGGCTCCATCTTAAAAGACACCTCCATCTTAGACACTGAGTTTCTGACCTACCAGAACTCATGCCCTGAGGGAAACTGTACTCCCCGGCATGCACCTGGATGGCCTAAGATACATTGTTTCCACCACCCATGACGGCTATCACTCAAGCTCTGCTTATCGAACATCCTGCGGTTGGGACACAGCTGCACAACAGAATGTTCTCTGTTGAAGATAAACTATTCTTGACAATTATGGTTTAGTTGCTTAGCTACACGCTGATGTCCTTGGAGGAAACTCCCTCATTCTCCCTAACTATATCTACATCCTTATACCCTGCAATAAACGAGGCTTGATCAGAATTCTGTCTTGCCTCCATTTCTTTGTGTCTCCTGTCCCTCTTTCATTCTCTGTAGGATTCTCCACGCCCCACCCTCCAAAATGACTATTACTATTTTACTTCCCTTCCTCTCTCTTCAAAGCCGTAGCACAGGTGCCCGACCACTCATCTTCTGCCCATCTCTGCTCTCAGTATTGGCCGCAGAGAACACTGAAAAAGGAAACTATCTCATACAAAATTCTCCCCTAGGAAAGTGCCTAGGTCCGTGGTCGGCAAATGCGGCTCTCGAGCCACATGGAGCTCTTTGGCCCCTTGGGTGTGGCTCTTCCACAAAATACCACAGCCTGGGCAATTTTGAAGAAGTGGCGTTAGAAGAAGTTTAAGTTTAAAAAATGTGGCTCTCACATTATAAACTGATGAACCAAAAGATAGATATAGAGACAGTAAAACAACAAGCAGATTGTCAAATTACAGCGGGGAGGGGAGGAGGATCTGGGGGAGATAATAGATCAACCGAAGGACTTGTATACATGCATATAAGTACAACCAATGGACATAAAACTATGGGGAGGGAGGGGATATGGGGGAGGGAGGGAGGGGGGCAAAAAAAATCATTAAAATATGTAAAATAAATAAATAAATTAATTAAAAAAAAAAAAAGAAAGTAAAAAAAAAAAAAAAATGTGGCTCTCAAAGGAAATTTCAATCGTTGTACTGTTGATATTTGGCTCTGTTGACTAATGAGTTTGCTGACCACTGGTCTAGGTACGTTCTTCCTTGTTGCCCTGCTATCACCGGGAGGAAGGCCTCTGCCCCTGCCAATGGCAGTGTCTCCACATGCAGTCTCCATCTCATCCCTCTCACTGCTCCAAGGTAGGCTGTTTCCTGCATCCTGGGTCTCTCCCTCTTTGCAATTGCCCCACCATTGTGCAAACTGCCCTAATAACATCCATTACAAATAACTCTCTATTGAGCCTACATAGCCCTCTAACTCTGCTCTCTTTTGCAGCAACACTTCTGAGGTTAGATATCTATACTCACCAGTCCCACTCCTCACTTCCCATTTTCTTTTCGCTGTTTTTATCCGATGGTTTTTGAAAAGGCAAAAAAGGAATGAGTTAAAGAACACAGACTGAAGGATTGATTTTAAACTGGAAAAAGATTCCCTCTGATTGAGTAGTACATCCCTATCCGGTTTGGCTCACTGGATAGGTCAGCCTGCGCACCAAAGGGTCCTGAGTTCGATTCTGGTTTCGGTCAAGGGCATGTACCTTGGTTGCAAGTTCTTTCCTTCCCAGCCCAAGGGCAACCAATTGACGTGTTTCACTCACATGGACATTTCTCTGTCTTTCCCTCTCTCTTCCACGCTCCCTAAACATCAGTAGATCCTCGGGTGAGGATTACCACAACCAAAAAAGAAGGACAGATGGCCTTGGCCGGTGTGCTGGGGTTAGCGTGTCACCCTGAGCACAAGAGGATCACAGGTTCAAGGGCACTGGGGTCAAGGGCACTGCACTCATCTGCACGGTACTTAGTACCACAGAGAGGCAATGGGGTGGACGTCCAGTTATGCACCTTGGGTTGCAAACTGAGTAGAAAAGGAAGAAGGAGATAAATGAGAAATAAGCGGTTCAAGCACTGAGATCTGAATGCAAAGAAAAGCTGTGCGTGGGCGAGATTTCATGACCTTGATTTCAGAATTAGAACGCTTTAGCGGTGTGACAAAGGACTGCCCCCAAAAAGTTTTTGGAAAAAAATCGGGACGTTTTTAAAACGCCGCGGGACGCGGGACAAATTGTTAACAATCGGGACTGCGGGACGTCTGGTCACCTTACCCAAAAGCCATTTCTGAGCCACCTGGAAGCCAAGGTGTCGGGGCGGGAGACAGGCAAACGGGAGACTCCCACGCCCCCGAGGCCCCTGGAGATAGAAGGCCCCGCCCACCGCGGGGCGGCGGCGGCCCGCGCGTGCGCAGTGCGTCGCGCCTGCGCACGGCGGCCCCGCGCCCCTCCGGTTCCGCCGTGCGCCCGCGGGCTGAATGGGCTTCGGGTTCCGCGCCGCCGGCGAGTGGCGGGCGGCTGCTCCTCCGCCTCCGCGAGCGCCGGCGACTCGTCCCGCCTCGTCCAGAAACCGTACGTCCGGGCCCGCGCCGGAGGAGCGGCGCCTCTGAGGGCTGCGGCGACCCCGCCGGCCTCGGTCTCTTTCCTGGCGGCGGCGGCTTCTTCCGTGGGACAATATGTTCAAGAGAATGGCCGAATTTGGGCCTGACTCTGGCGGCAGAGTGAAGGTGAGTGCCCGCCCGCGCCCGCCGGTCCCCCTGCGCGGCGAGGGGCGGGCCGCGGGCTCCCCCCGAGGTGTCAGGGCGGGGAGCGAGTCCGTCCCCGAGGGAGCGTCTGTGTTTGACGGCGCCCCACCTTCACGGCGCCACCCCCCTCCTCCCGCTCCCCCAGAAAAACAAACAAACTTGGTGCTGGTTGGGGCGAGAACGCCGGACACTGTTTCCCGGGAAACCAGCCTCTCCGAGGGCCGGGGCGTCCTGCTGGCTGCGGTCAGCGGTCAGCGGTCGGGGAGGGCGGTGACAGCAGCAGGTGTCTGTCTGGGAGCGCCTCCGCCTGCCCGGCACCGCGGCTACAGCTTCACCTTCTCCGCCCGGCCCTGCAGCACCTTCCACAGGCGGATCGCCCAGCGCTTGTGCCCAGGTTCATGGTGTTGCCGAAGCTCCGGCCCAGATATTAACCAGGGCATGCAGGGCACATTGCCTGGCACATGAGGGACATGGACATTGGCTGCTTCTGTCTTTAATCCAAGTTATCAGAGAGCCTATCGGAATGTTTGACATAGGGATACGTTTCCCTCCCACCTTCTCACATTCCCCTCAGCACGTTAATTTTTAAGGCAGGACCAACGGGTTCCCAATACTACACCTGTTTCTACCCCTTACGATTTTTATTTATTCCAGAAAGGATTTTTTTCTTTAAAAAGACATAACCCACTTTTGCAGCAACCTAGTCAGTATAGGTTTTTAAAGAGTTCTTATCTGTCATATTGTTTTTACATAACTTTAACTCTATACTGTGTGTACAACTATCATGCATGGTGCTTTAATGTCATGTAAATCAGGAGTCCTTCGAAAATGTCAAAAGCTTTTGAAAATTCATGTAAGGAGAAAGATGCTAGGTAAATTGATAAATATACACATTTTGCCCAGACTTTTTGGGCAAGGTTTTGAACTGATAGGAAAGTACTAGCAAACAAAAGGTTAAAATAGATTTTGGAGAAGAACTCATAGAACTTTCAATACTTGTAATTATGTTAGTTTCTGAAAGTTTGTAAGTTTAAGTCCCAGGTGACTTGCGATTACGCCTATAGCCCTCAAATGCTTTTCTACAAACACTGGCATGATTTAGTCATGTGAAGCTTAAAACCAGTGATTTGCAACCTTTTTCGGCTCATAGCACACATAAACTAATTACTAAAATTCTGTGGCACACCAAAACTGGATATTTTGCTGATCTGACCAAAAAAAAGGGGGAGTGGGTATAATTTTGATTCATTCACAATGGGTGGCTTTTGTTGTATTGGGTGTTGTCATTTTTTTATTTGATAATCAAGAGAAAAGAGCTCAGTGCCCCTGGCTAAATAGTTAGGTATCGCAGGTTTTTTAATTTCTTGCAGCATGCTAGTCGAAAATTGCTGCTTTAAACCTAGGGACTTCTCCTCTTCACTCATTGTTATGTGGTTTTGTAGGCATCTTTTTCCAATTTAGATAAATTTTATCCAGGTAGGAAGTCTGTTGACAGATGAGCCCCGTTTTTATCATTGAGGAACTCTGCAAGTTCCTGCCAACACCACAGCAGCCATGGGATCTCTTAGCCACTCACCAAGTCAGCACTCCTTATACTCACTCATTCAGGCCTTGAACCTGAGGCCCCGTCTGTGGTTGCCACAAAAGTGTCAGTAGCACTTACTGTGATTATGTAAGTTCTCATACAAACAGCTTGCCTTCTTCTGGACTAACTTTAGGCTGATAGGTATTGAATTTATTTGTTACTTATTCAGCCACAATTAATAGTTTTCCATTTGTTCACTGCCTTCCCTCGTTTCTTTTTAGTTACATTGGCACAGCATCATCACATGTGTATATCTTGCTCTTTGACCTTCAGATACATTCTTACTGTTGAACAATTGATCTGAAATTCATTCAGCATTTTGTCTCCACTTGAAATTTTTTCTCTCCTTCATCATAATCTGTCAACATTCACTGCCTTTACACTCACCAGATGTGAGGAGAAACATGTATGTACATCTCAGAAATGAGCCCAAATATAGGAAGCATGGCCATTGGCCAATAAACTAGCATCAGTCATCCAAGTGACATTTTATCAGTATCCAAATCCAGCTGTAATATTGAACATTTTTATTTAGATTACTTTTTAAAAGGCTGTTCCTAAGCATTAATATTTTTGAAATTATGGGTTTGAATTACTAGTTATAGTTATGATTTTTCTAATAGTGATTAAAGTAAACCCATAAATAATAAAATGCTTTTATTATGTTTGCTCTTATTATACCTAAAATCTTCTTTCAAGCTGCCTTTAATACTTGTACCATGCTTTGGAAAACACTGCCATAAGCTGATAAATAGGACATTGTCATCAGACTAGAGGCCCATTGCACAAAAATTGTGCATGGGGGTAGGGTCGGGAATAGGTGGTTTCCCCTCAGCGGAGCTTGCACCCTCTCCAATCTGGGATCCCTCTCACAATCCCGATCCACTGGCTCCCAACCACTCACCTGCCTGCCTACCTGCCTGATGCCCCTAACTGCTCCCCTGCCAGCCTTATGTCCCTAACTGCTCTCCCCTGACAACCTGATCCCCCTAACTGTTCTTCTCTCCTGGCCTGATCCCCCTAACTGCTCTCCCCTCCTGGCCTGATCCACCTAACTGCCTGTCTGTGCTCCCCTAACTGCCTGTCTGCTCTCAAATAGAAAGCAACCTATTGGGACTCACAGATTGAGAACCGCTAGCAGGGTCGCCTAAGACCATCAGAAAACACAGATATTTACATTACAGTTCATAACAGTAGCAAGATTACAGTTATAAAGTAGCAACGAAAATAATTTTATGGTTGGGGGTTCAAAACATGAGGATTAAAGGGTCGCAGCATTAGACAGGTTGAGAACCCCTGGCATAGATGATTGCAGTTGGAGTTGGTGATCTTTACTTCAGGGCCTCACTTTAAAGTTTGTGAATAAAGAGCCTTTTGTGTTTCTTTTCAGAAAAACTCTCAAAGTACTTAACAGGTTTTAAACATTTTTATTGATTTCAGAGAGAAGGGAGAGGGGGCGAGGTAGACACGTCAATGATGGGAGAATGGTTGATTGACTGCCTTCTGCACTCCCCACACAGGGGATTGAGCCCACAACCTAGGCATGTGCCCTGACCAGGAATCGAACCCTGACCTTCTGCCCCGTAGGTCGATGCTCAACCACTGAGCCACATGGGCAGGGCTAACATAGACATTTTCAATGTAGGGACATTGTAATTAATCTGGTGTTTAGTTGTTTGTATTAATATGAAATGAGGATAATTGTCTAAAATTGATTTATTGAGAGAAATGATGTTATAAGCAAACTCTAGTTTTTTTATTTTATTTTTTCAATTACAGGTGACACACAATATTATATTAGTTTCAGGTGTACAACATAGTGATTAGACATTTATATAACTTAGGAAGTGATCATCCTTATATATCTAAATAACCATCTGACACTATACATAGTATAGTACTGTTGACTATATTCCCTATGCAGTACTTTACATCCCTATGACTATTTTGTTACTGCCAATTTGTACTTAATTCCTTCACCATTTTCACACTCCCGCCATTCCCTTCCAATCTGGCAACCATCAAAGTATTCTCTGTATCTATGAGTTTGTTTCTGTTTTGTTTGTTCCTTTATTGCACACATAAGTAAAATTATATGGTATTTGTCTGTATCTGACGGATTTCACTTAGCATAATACCCTCTAGGGTCCATCCATGTTGTTGCAAATGGTAAGTTTTTATTCTTTTTTATGGCTGAGTAATAGTCCATTGTATATATGTACCACTTCTTTATCCATTCATCTATTGATGGACACTTAGGTTGCTTTCATATGATGGCTATTTTAAATAGTGCTGCAATGAACGTATGTCTTTTTGAATTAGTGTTTTGGATTTCTTCAAACAAATACCCAAAATGGAATTGCTGAGTCCTTCTTTGTCTCTTGTTATAACCTTTGTTTTAAAGGTAGGAAGAGATCGACCAAAGAACTTGTATGCATATATGCATAACCCATGGACACAGACAATAAGGTGGTGAAGGACTGAGGCAGGTGGCGAGGTGGGCTAGAAGGGGGCAGACAATGGAGGAAAAAAGGGTACATATGTAATACTTTTAACAGTAAAGATATAATTAAAATAAAAGAAAGTCAATTTTGTTTGGTATAAGTATTGCAACCCCAGCTTTTTTTGTTTCCATTTTCTTGAAATGTCTTTTCATCTCTTTGCTTTCAGTCTGTATCTTTCCATCTGAAGTGAGTCTCTTATATGCCTGCCATTTCTTAAAACAAACTTTCAGAACTCTTCTGTTTATTTGGATGATCATACAATATTAATTAGTGTTTAAAACTTTTCTTTCAGGGGGTTACTATCGTTAAACCAATAGTTTATGGCAATGTTGCTCGATATTTTGGAAAGAAAAGAGAAGAGGATGGGCATACCCATCAATGGACAGTATATGTAAAACCATATAGAAATGAGGTGAGTACTGTTCTTTCCTATAACTTCTTTGTGTTGTTTTTTTTTGTTTGCTTTTTTGTTTTGTTTTTAATATATTTTATTGATTTTTTTACAGAGAGGAAGAGAGAGGGACAAAGAGTTAGAAACATCAATGAGAGAGAATCATAGGTCAGCTGCCTCTTGCACACTCCCTACTGGGGATGTGCCCGCAACCAATGTACATGCCCTTGGCCAGAAAGGACCTTTCAGTCCGCAGACCGATGCTCTATCCACTGAGCCAAACCGGTTTCGGCCCTATAACTTCTTTGAATCTACAGTTTGTTTTGCTTGAAAATAAATTGTAATATTATAGGGACTCTCTGTTTATAAAATTGTCCTTTTTAGAAAAGTTACCCACCCCAAAAGTTGAAAGAATAAAGTGAGAGTTGTCATTCTCATATAATTGTTCAGTAGGAAAAAAAAGTTTTTTAAGTATATATTTTTATTGATTTCAGAGAGAAAGGGAGAGGGAGAAAGATAGAAACATCCATGATAAGAGAGAACCATGGGTCCACTGCCTCCTGCACAACCCCCACTGGGGATCGAGCCCACAACCCAGACTTGTGCCCTGACCAGGAATCGAACTTGTGACCCCCTGGTTCATAGGTCTATGCTCAACCACTGAGCCATGCCGGCCGGGCTCAGTAGAAATTTTCAAAAAATGTTTCCTAATTAAAATTAAATTACACTAACAAGAAATGTGCTATAAACACAGCACATCTTCCAATCACCATGTCTTAAGTTAGCCTAGTATTTAATCAGATGTTTCAAGAATAGTAGTTAATTTTTAAAAAAAATATATTTTATTGATTTTTTTACAGAGTGGAAGGGAGAGAGATAGAGAGCTAGAAACGTCGATGAAAGAGAAACATCGACCAGCTGCCTCTTGCACACCCCCTACTGGGGATGTGCCCGCAACCAATGTACATGCCGTTGGCCAGAAAGGACCTTTCAGTCCGCAGACCGATGCTCTACCACTGAGCCAAACCGGTTTCGGCTAGTAGTTAATTTTTAAGTGATAATTTAGTTGGTAATAAGACCATCAGAGGAGATAAAATACATAACTATATAATCTGGCTGCTGGTAATTTTGTTTTATTGCTGAATCTCTAATGCCTGGAATGAAGCCAGTTCATATTAGGTATTCAACAGATATTTATTAAGTGAATAAACTGTTCTTCTATTTAAATCCTTCAAAGTCCATACAAAAGAATGGGAACAACTCAGATGTCTTGAATAAATAAAATACGGCATATCTATGCAATGGAATGTCATTAGGCAGAAAGAAAGAAAAACTATTGGTACATGCTGCCACCACATGGAGAAATTGAGAAACATTACGGTAAGAGAAAGAGCCCAGACACAAAGGCCACATATTCTATAATATTATTAAAAATATATATATTTTATTGATTTTCTTTTTTTACAGAGAAGTAAGGAGAGGGATAGAGAGTTAGAAACATCGATGAGAGAGAAAAATCCATCAACTAACTCTTGCACACCCCCTACTGGGGATGTGCCCGCAACCAAAGAACATGCTCTTGACTGGAATCAACCTGGGACCCTTCAGTCCGCAGGCTGACGCTCTATCCACTGAACCAAACCGGTTAGGGCCCTATGATACCATTTTTATAAAATATCCAGAATAGGCAAATCCAGACACAGAAAATAGATTAGTTGTTGCCAGTGGGTGGGAGGAAGATGGACTTAGGAATGAGTGCTAATGGTATGGGGATTCTTTTTATGTGATAAAAATAGTATTCTAAAATTGAATATAGTGATGGTTGTACAACTCTGTGAATATGCTAAACACTGAATGTTACATTTTAAAATATATATATTTTATTGATTTTGTACAGAGAGGAAGGGAGAGAGATAGTTAGAAACATCGATGAGAGTCATCGATCAGCTGCTTCTTGCACACCCCTACTGGGGATATGCCCGCAACCAAGGTACATGCCCTTGACCGGAATCGAACCCGGGACCCTTCAGTCCCCAAGCCGACGCTCTGTCCACTGAGCCAAACCAGTTTCGGCCTGAATGTTACATTTTAAGTGGGGGAATTATGTGGTGTGTGAATATGTCAAAAAAGCTATTATTTTTTAAAAACAGCTTTGCCCTAACTGGTTTGGCTCAGTGGATAGAGCGTCAGCCTGCGGACTCAAGGGTCCCAGGTTCGATTCCAGTCCAGGGCATGTACCCAGTGGGAAGTGTGCAGGAAGCAGCTGATCGATATTTCTCTCTCATCGATGTTTCTAACTCTCTATCCCTCTCCCTTTCTCTCTGTAGAAAAAATCAATAAAATATATTTTTAAAAATACAACAAAAAACACCTTAAATGACTACTAATTACCCTCATAAAGTTAAAACTTCTTATTTTAGAAGGCATGCTGTGGTCTTTTCTTATCCTATTTCAGCAGCATTATACCTTGTCTGTATTTGCTTCTTTATTTCCTTATGCCCTACATTCTAATACTGTTACTTTCAGTTTCTCAAAGGAGGACTCTTAAACCCCTTACTTCCTTCTTCCCTCCCTCCATCCCTCCCTCCCTATTTTTATTATTTCCTTAGTCTTGGTTCAAGTGTATTTTCTTTAGAACTACTTTCTTGAACTCCAAAAACTGTTGCGTTAGATGCCTCTCCTGTGGTGGTACGCCTCATGCCCTCAGGAACAGATTACACTGAAATGCTGATTTCCTTTTCTGGCGCCTACTCCATAGACAGATCCTGAGGACAAGACCCTATTACCATTTTATCTGGTACCCAATGTTAGTACTCACTCATACTTGTAGAGTAAAAATAAATGAAACTATTTCCAAAACAGTCTTCAAAGATACTTAGGAAAATCTGCCTTAGAAAAAAATGTTCATACAGATGATGTGTTGAAGAATTGTGTACCTAAAAGCTGTATAATTTTGTTAGCTAGTGTCACTCCAATAAATTCAATAAAAAGGGGGGAATGTTCACAATATTATATTAAGTAATGAAAGCAGATATTAATATATCATTATAGTATGATTCCAATTTAAAAATATTGGTTGCAAGCCGAAACCGGTTTGGCTCAGTGGATAGAGCTTCGGTCTGTGGACTGGAAGGTCTCAGGTTCAATTCCGGTCAAGGGCATGTACATTGGTTGCGGGCACATCCCCAGTAGGGGGTGTGCAGGAGGCAGCTGATGGATGTTTCTCTCTCATCAATGTTTCTGGCTCTCTATCCCTCTCCCTTTCTCTCTGTAAAAAATCAATAAAAAATATTTAAAAAAAAAATATTGGATGCAAGGTAATAAGCACAAAAAAATTCCTAAAAGAAAAAATATAAACATTTCTATTGTTTGGCTTATTCTCTTTTGCATTTTTCTATAATAAGGTATGTTTGAAAAAGACACAGTAACTAAAAGAAACCCTTTTATCTGTAAGAACTAAGGAACATGATCTTGTGCTTCAAAATAAAATTCAGAAAAGGAGGAGTTTTATATCCAACCGTTTTAGCTGCTTAGTTGAGATGACCTTAGTTTTATATGATATAATTTTGTTGTTTGAAGTTGCTTAGTTTTTAAATTTGTTATTATAGAAGTATTGGAAGTGTACTATTGTTTTTATTGAAATATTTCGATTTAGAGAATTGTCTATAGATAAATATAAAAAAACCTATTTGCAAAATAAGAGAATTGATATGTATATTTCTATCTTCTATACTGATAAAAGGGTAATATGCTAATTCGACCCGGAGACCTTCCAGACATCCTTCTGGACAAAGCCATGGTGGCGGGGCTGAGGCAGAGGCAGTTAGGGGTGATCAGGCCAGGAGGGGAGGGCAGTTGGGGGTGATCAGGCCAGCGGGGAGGGAGGTGGAGTTGGGGTAAGCAAGCTGGCAGTGAGGGAGCAGTTAGAGTCAATCAGGCCTGCAGTGGGGAGGCAGTTGGGGGCGAGTAAGCTGGCAGGATGGGGCAGTTAGGAGACAAAGGCCGGCGTGGATGGAGGGGCAATTGGGGGTGAGCAGGCCGGCAGGCAGAGTAGTTAGGGACAATCAGGCAGGCAGGCAAGTGAGCAGTTAGGAGCCAGCAGTCCCAGATTGCGAGAGGGATGTGTGACTGCGGTTTAGGCCTGATCCTAAATCAGCAGTCGGACATCCCCTGAGGAGTCCCAGATTGGAGAGGGGTGCAGGGATACCTCCCCCCACCCCCATGCACAAATTTCATGCACCGGGCCACTAGTGTATTATGAGAAAATTCACTGACTTGTTTAAAATAAAAAACCAAATCTCCTAGGTATAATTTATTTTTTTTTGTGGGGTTTTAAAAGAAAATTCGATTCTATAATATTTGAGGGGAAATGTATTTTATAAAATTAGGTACATATGCTTAGTTTATTTCCCTCCTAGTTTTTATGTGTAGATAATAGAACTAATTAATTCCTCTGTATTTTAGGATATGTCAGCATATGTGAAGAAAATTCAATTTAAGTTACATGAAAGCTATGGCAATCCTTTAAGAGGTATAGTTTTTTTCATTTATAACATACAAATTTAAAAAGAGTTAGGAAACTACGTCATAATTTACAATTATAATTGTTGTATTTTTTTCTCTTCTTCAGTTGTTACTAAGCCTCCATATGAAATTACTGAAACAGGATGGGGTGAATTCGAAATAATCATCAAAATATTTTTTATTGATCCTAATGAAAGACCTGTGAGTAATGGTAACCTTTGTAAATTTAAAACAGATTTTTTTTTAGTAATTGTGAAAATGTTACAATACTTAATGAAGAACATATTATGTGTTGACATTTTTATTCAGAGTCACTTTATGTACGCTTATTGTATGGTGTATTTTTTAAAAATATGTTTTTATTGTTTTTAGAAAGAGAGGAAGGGAGAGGGAGGGAAAGAGAAATATTGATCGACTGTCTCCTGCCTACTGGGGATAAAGCCAGAAACCTGGGCATGTGCTACAACAGGGAATCAAACAAGCAACCTTTTGGTGCATCGGACAACACTCAGTCAGGGCTGGCATGTTGTATCTTGCATGAGTTAAGATTTTTCATTTTTAAGTGATGTGCCTTCCAAGGTTTTTATTTTTTAATATAGGAAGAAGGAATAAAATGTGAACATTTATTGGAAAGAAACCATGAAAATCATATGATTACTATAGAAAAAAATTATTTTTTTAATTTACAGATTTAGAGAGAGAAATGGGGAGAGAGAAAAAGAAGAAAACAAACATCAATTTGTTATTCCACTTATGCGTTCATTGGTTACTTCTTGTATACTCTCTGACCAGGGATCAAACCTGCCACCTTGGTTTATTGGGACCATGCTCCAACCAACTGAGCTACTCGTCCAGGGCTACCACAGCAAAAATTTTAAATTCGTTAATAGTATTTGGTTATTAGCAATAAACAAATTGAGTTCATATGCTATGAAATGAGAGTATTCAGTTTTTTATAGTTAAAAGCCTTAGAAATAGTCTTGTTGCTTTTTCAAAGCAAAAAGTACTAGCAGCTTTACTTGTGAATCGTTATTGATAACCAACTTTTTCATTTTATGGTCTCTTATAAGATTGTTGCTTGATACTGCAAAAAGTCCCTTAAACCTTTCACTTTGATCCCTCAGCAACTTTGTGAAGTTGGTGATATCTTCATTTTAGTTATGAGAATACTAAGGCTCAGAGAACAAGTCACAGACTCAAAAATACAGTTAGTTGTGGCAAAGCTAGTTTTGAACCCAAGTGTTGGATTTACACCTTACACTCTTCCTGTTACTCTTTCTTTTGACAAACCACTAAGCCTTCTTTTATTGATTGATTGGTTGCTTTTTTGGAGAGAGAGGGAGGGAGAGAGAAAAACAGAAACATTGATTCCTTGTTCCACTTACTTATGCATTCATTGGTTGATTCTTGTATGTATTTGACTGGGGATCGAATCCACAACCTTGGTGTAAACCTGTTTTATTTTTAAACCTAGAAGGCCACAACTCAGTCATGGCTCTCTCATTTCACATTTGTGTGGCTGGTGGTTAATTTGTTTCAGGACTTTAACAGTTCTCACCACTGATTTTCATCTTGATAGATTTAAGCTCATTCCTTTGGCACCAAATCTTTAGACTTTCATTATCAGATTAAATTTTTAAAACTATATGTGGTTTTAAAGGAGTTGAGTATCACCTGGGCCAGGGTCTCAGAGGATTGGTTCTTAACTGACTATATCAGAAGTACCTGAGGCGTTTTTTAAAATTTCAAATTGGCCCAATCCCCTGGAGAGTCTGATTCAGTAGTTTGGAGAAGGGCCGGCACCCCAGGTGATTTTGATGCAAGGTAAGATTTAGAACCCATTGACAGAGGCCATACTCTTCCTAGATATATAGGAATTTCTTCAGGGCATCTCTGAAAGAAGAATCTCCTTTGGATTTGCTAACTTCAGTATGGAGAATATTGACTTCTGTCGTAAGTGAAATATTCTGTTCAGGTTTGGCGTAGTTCTAGTTTTTTGGTTTTGCTTTTTGTTTTAAATATATTTTTATTGATTTCAGAGAGGAAGGAAGAGGGAGAGAGAGATAGAAACATCAGTGATGAGAGAGAATCATTCATTGGCTTCCTCCTGTACACCTCCACTGAGAATCGAGCCTGCAACCCAGGCATGTACCGTGACTGGGAATCGAACAGTGACCTGGTTCGTAGGTCAAAGCTCAACCACTGAGACATGCTTGCTGGGCATGGTGTGGGGTGGTTCTAGTTTTAAGAAAGCTCTACTTTATTTTAAGCTTCCTTGAACTTTTTATTGATAACTATTCATAAATTAGTTTTCTTTTTTCCTGTATAAACATCTATGGCTCAAATATCTTGATACAAAGATGAAGCACTGCTTTTGTCCTTAATCAAAATAGTCTCTTAAGTCCTGGCCAGTTTGGTTCAGTGGGTAGAGTATTGGCCTGTGGACTGAAGGGTCCCAGGTTTGATTCCAGTCAAGAGCATGTACCTCAGTTGCAGGTTCAGTCCTTGGCCCTGGTTGGGGCACATGTGGGAGACAATCAATGTCTTTCTCACATTGATGTTTCTCTCTTTGTTTCTCCCTCTCCCTTCCACATTCTCTAAAAATCAATGGAAAAATATCCTCAGATGAGAATTCACAAATAAATAGTCTATTGAAGAGTCTATAGCACAAAATTTAGTAAATATTGAGAGAGATAAGAAGTCAGTAGTGTTACTGGAGCAGAAGCTCTTTTTAACTTTGTAAGATTGCTTCTAATTCATTTTTATTTTGACAATGTGTGGCCTTACCTCTCTCTTCATCTGTTGTCCCCTCCTATTCCATTAGGAAAATACATCTCTGAAAGAAATCTTTATATCATATAATTTTATTATGAGCTGGCTCTTCAAGTCCACTCTTGGAAAAGTAAAGTAATATGTTCGTTTGCACTTCTGCAGTGATTAATTTTTTAAATAGGTTTCCATATAGATCTACACAGGCCTGAATTTTAAAAATATATATTTTTTTACTTTTTAAAGAGAGAGGAAGGGAGAAAAAGAGAAACATTGATTGGCTGCCTCCTGCATGCCCCCTACTAGGTAGGGATGGAGCCCCAAACCTGGGCATGTGCCCTGACCAAGAATTAAACCAGCAACCTTTCAGTGCCCAACCAGCTGAACCACCCAGCCAGGGCTAGGCTTCAATTTTAGTCCCCAAAAACCATTGTAGTATTATTTTAGTTAGAATGAAACCGTTATACTTTTTCAATAGTTGTTTTTACTGAAAATGTCATATAAGGGTTTATTTAAAATATAGAAGACACTAGTAACTTGTAATTTACTTCTGTTACCCACTAGCCTATTATAGGACAAGTCATTGTTAAAGGAATGGCTGTTTCTAAAAGCAAATGCTAAAATTGTTGCCCTGGCCGGTGTGGCTCGGTGGTAGAGCATAGGCCTATGTACCAAAGGGTCGAGGGGTCAATTCCTGGTCAAGGACATGTACCTGGATTACAGGTTTGATCCCCGACCCTGATTAGGGCAGGTGTAGGAAGCAACCAGTTGATGTGTCTCTTTCACATCAATGTTTTTCTCCCCCCCCCTCCCTTCCTTCCCTCCCTTCCTCATCTTCCTCCCTCCCACCCTTCCACTCTCTCTGTCTAAAAACTAGTGGAGAAAATATCCTTGGGTGAGGATTAACAAAATAAAACAAAAGAAAGAGTAAAAGACATGTGTTTTATGTCTAGAAATAATCAGTAGCAAGTACAGGTGTTTTCATTGTTCTAAGGATCACCAAACACAGCTCAAAAAGTCTTTTGTACTAGTTTCCTAGGGCTGCCATAACAAAGTACCACAAACTGAGTGGCTAACCAACAGAAATTTATTCTAACAGCTCTGAAGCTAAAAATTCAAAGACCCTGCTTTTAATAGTCTCTCTTTGTCTTTTGCTCTTGGCATTTTAATTATGATGTAGCTTGGTGTGGTCCTCTTTGGATTCCTTTTGTTTGTGGTTCTGTGTGCTTCCTGTACTTGTAAGTCTAATTCTTTCACCAGGTGGGAGAAGTTTTCTGACATTATTTCTTCAAATAGGTTTTCTCCACCTGCCAACTTTGAGCTCTGAACCTCTCTGGGGCTCCTCTAGAAGTGCTGGCTCCCACCAGTGATACAGTTGTCTTCCTTACGTTTTCAGGTTGTGGATTTCCCTGTTGTGGAATATCCATCAATGTAGTCACATGCTCTTGTCTATTCTATAAAGTTGTCAAATTATCTGCTTGGAATATGGCTTGTGATTGATGCATGGTTACTTATAATGATTTTTGCTAAGTTTTGGAAAATTCTCTGAGGTCTCTGAATTGGTTTCTTCAACTTCAACATGAACTCTGATACTTTGCCAGCTGGGTTTTATTTTTCTAAAGTAATCACACATTGTTCTACAAAACTTCCCCTTTGATGTCTTACTACACCGTTGTTGTTTTTTTAAACATGAAAACATGTTATGCCAAAGTGAATTACCACTGACTTTGTTACTTATGTAATAATCTTATAGATGATCAAAGAAATAATCTTACCCTCACTAAGCATTTTAGTATGTCATTCCTTTTGAAAGTATCAAATCTTTTTTTCCAGAGCAAATTTGTAAACTTTAATCTTCACAGAACAACTGTCATAATCTACGTAATTTCACTCGTGTTAGTAAAAGAATTTATGTGTTAATGATTTTCCAGTTTAATTTCCAGAGCTATATCTTATACTATTTTTATATACAGTCACTCTCTAGAAATGCTTTGTAATAATCTTTACTTACCATCTTTGGAATGTTCATATTTAGATGTGGATGATAGTAATACCTAATAGGAAAATAAAAGTACAGAGAGTTTTGAGTTACTTGCCACAGTAAGTTGAGACAAATCCTGAAGTTGATATATTTACTAATTCAGTTATAGAAATGACAGTATTTCACAATGATGAAGGTAACCATTGCACAGATGTGATGTCTGTTTTTATTTCACAGGTAACCCTGTATCATTTGTTAAAGCTGTTCCAGTCAGATACCAATGCAATGCTGGGGAAAAAGACAGTGGTTTCAGAGTTTTACGATGAAATGGTAAGATTTTTATAACGAGAGTTTTAAAGGCATTTTAAATTGTAGAACTTTGAAGTTATTGGGCCTTTTCTCATTTTATCTCATTAGATATTTCAAGACCCAACAGCAATGATGCAACAATTATTAACAACATCTCGTCAGCTAACATTAGGAGCCTACAAGCATGAAACAGAATGTAAGTGCCATGAGTTTATAATTAATACTGAAAATAGTGTTATGTGATGGTGAAAGGATCGTATGATTAGTAACTTTCAAATTCTTTTATTAATGCTATATATAGATAAAATGTTCAGAAGTTAAAAATTAAGTATTACGCCAAAACCGGTTTGGCTTAGTGGATAGAGCATCGGCCTGTGGACTGAAGGGTCCCGGGTTCGATTCCGGTCAAGGGCATGTACATTGGTTGTGGGCACATCGCTGGTGGGGGATGTGCAGGAGGCAGCTGTTCGGTGTTTCTCATTGATGCTTCTAGCTCTCTAACCCTCTTCCTTTCTCTCTGTAAGAAATCAATAAAATATAATTTTTTAAAAAAGTATTACTCTAGAACTTGTAAGAAGCATATTTTATTTATTTATTTTTTAAGATATATTTTATTGATTTTTTTACAGTGAGGAAGGGGGAGAGATAGTTAGAAAAATTGATGAGAGAGAAACCTCCATCAGCTGCCTCCTGCACACCCCCCACCGGGCATGTACTGGCAACCAAGGTACGGGCCCTTGACCGGAATCGAACCTGGGACCTTTCAGTCCGCAGGCTGATGCTCTATTCACTGAGCCAAACCGGTTTCGGCAAGAAGCATATTTTAAATTGTTCCCAAAGTTAGGTCTACTTTCAAAAAGATAAAAGACAGCTTCTCACAGTCTCTGAAATACTGTCTTTTATTCTCTAATTACATTTAAACATAGCTATTTATTAATCTTGCCTAACCTGCTACTCAGTCATTTTCTATTCATTAGTCTTTGCTAACAAAATCTGTGTGAAAAACCTTGCAAAACATAATTATACTTTTGTATTCTGTGAACTAGTTTATTATTATTATTATTATTTTTTCAACCTATGCCATTTTACATACTTTCAGATTCATACTAAGGTGGAAAGTACCAGGATGCCATTCTAATAATCACGATGTATATTCCCTCTAACCTGAATTGGCATCTGAATCCTGTACACATCACTCCATACAGCTAATTTGCCTACAGTATTGATTACCTGTTATATGCCAGGCATTATTCTAGGGTCTGAGGATAGAGCATTGTACAAACCAGATAAAAAGCTCTGCCCTCATGCCAAAACCGGTTTGGCTCAGTGGATAGAGCGTCGGACTGCAGACTGAAAGGTCCCGGGTTCAATTCCTGTCAAGGGCACGTACCTTCGTTGCGGGCACATCCCCAATGGGGGATGTGCAAGAGGCAGCTGGTGGATGTTTCTCTCTCATCGACGTTTCTACCTCTCTATCCCTCTCAATACCTCTCTGTGTAAAATCAATAAAATATATATATTTTTAAAAATAGCTCTGCCCTCATGGAGCTTGCATTCTAGTAGGAAGAGAGATTTTAAATAAATAAAACAATAATGTGTACAATAGTGAATGGGTAGTATGGAGACAAGGCACAGGTGAGGAAGCATCTTTGGTGAGAGGAGATGATGATGATTGGAGTTTTAAATATCAGGTCACAGAATGCTTCCTGAGGTTGTGGCCTTTGAGCGAATACCTGAAGGAAGTGAGCCTTGAAGCTGTCTGAGATAAAAATGTTGTCTGTAGAGGGAGCAGCAAGGGCAAAAGCAGGGTAAGAGGATGCAGGGCATGTCTGAGGAACTGCAAGGAGGCCAGTGTAACTAGAAGGAACAAGGGGACAAGGAGTGGCATACGAGGCTCAGAGAAGTTAATAGGGAACCAGATCATATAGAGACTTATGAGTAACTGTGAGGACTCTATTAAGTGAAGAATATGTGAAGTCATTTGTGGGCTTGGAGCAGAAGAGGGAACATATAAGACTAACATTTTTTTAAAAAAATATATTTTATTGATTTTTTACAGAGAGGAAGAAAGAGGGATAGAGAGTTAGAACATCGATAAGAGAATCATCGATCAGCTGCCTCTTGCACACCTCCTACGGGGATGTGCCCACAACCAAGGTACATGCCCTTGACCAGAATCGAACCTGGGACTTTTCAGTCCACAGGCTGACGCTCTATCCACTGAGCCAAGCCGGTTTCGGCAAGACTAACATTTTAAAAGATCAATCAGCCCTGGTGATGTCGCTCAGTGGTTGAGCATCCACCTGGAAATCAGGAAGTCACAGTTCAATTCTCAGAGCACGTGCCTGGGTTGCAGGCTCCATCCAGGATGGGGACAGTGTAGAAGGCAGCCAATCAGTGATTCTTTCTCATCATTGATGTTTCTATCTCCCTCTCCATTCTTCTCTGAAATCAGTAAGAATATATTTAAAAAGATCATCTACCCTGGCTGCTGTGTTGAGAATAGACTGTAAAGAAAAAAAGAAAAAAAGAAGCAGAGAGGTTGTTCCAATAATCTAGGTATGATAGAATGGTGGGTGGTACCTGAGTGATAGCAATATAGAGTGATGAGAAGGGGTCAGATTCTGGATCTGTTTTGAAGATAAATACAATAGGATTTGCTGATGGTAATAACTTAAAAAAAAAAAAAAAAGTGAGAGATCAACAAAGAATGATTCTACGGTTTTATGCCTGAGGAACCAAAAAATTGTCATAGCTTTTTACAGAGATGGGGAAATTTGAGAGGGGCGGGTTTTGGGGAAGGATTAGTCAGGAGTACAGTTTTGGACATATGGATGTATGATGCCTATGAGACATCTAAGTGGTTATATTGAGAAGGCAATTGCACCCAAAAGCCTTATATTCAAGGAGAGGTTGGGGCTGAAGATAAATATTTGGAAGCTAATAAATAGATGGATTTATAAGTTGTGAGACCCTATGGTAGCATCAAAGGAGTGAAGATAGAAAAGAGGTCCAAGGACTGAGCCTCTTTTCTGCACTGCAACGTTTAGAATGTTAAAGAGATGATCAGTAAAGGAAATAAACAACAGTGAGTATGGAGGAAGAAAAAGTAGGTGCTTGTAATGTTCTAAAGCCAAGCACAGAGTGTATCAAGAAATAATCATAAGCTGTGTCCAGTACTGTTGATAGGTCAAGTCAGATGTGGGCCATGAAATGGGTTATAGCCAGGTAGCGGTCCTTGAAGGCCTTAACAGGGACAGTTAAAGGAGAATAGTGGACAGTGGATGAAAAGAGAATGAAGTGAAACTGGCGACAGGCACTGTGGATACTTCTGCCTAGGAATTTGCAGCGGTAGCAGAAGCAGGATATAGGGTCTAGCTAGAAGGTAGTGTTTACAGGGGGAAATAAATCAGTATATTTATAGGCTGAAAGGAGTGAAGTAATCCAGTAAAAGAATGTTTGGTGGATGAGAATACAGGGGAGAAGGGAATTGCTATTAAACCATTATTGGTTTTAATAGTGTTTGGTTTGTATTTTTATGAAACTCATGACTAGAAGTTAAAAGATCTGAATATTGATTATAATTTTCCCACTTTGTAGTCATTTAAAATTTAAAACCATACTCATTTAAACGTTTTATGCTTCACTTTCTGCATCTGCAAATGTATTTACCTGGCCTACTTCATTATGAACATAAAACAGATATGTATATGACCATTTTGACAAGGTAAAAAAACACACCTAATATACTATTTTAATTTGTTATTGGTCATTTGCGCTCCATAGATCTTTTCTTCATAGCATAAAATATGCCAAATTGATAGAGGAAACTTCTCTTTTAAAATTCAAGTGACCACATTTTTGTATTTTCAACAAAACAACTCATTTAAGTACAAGTAATTTCTATAAGTACATTTTATGTGTTAAAGCTTATGCATGGAGCTGTATGACCTTGGGAAGTTTTACCAATAAATTGCACGTTTTGAATTATATTCACTTTTTTTTCTTAATAATATCAAACAGTAAGGGGAAAAAAGATAATTTTAAAGTGATATTGGCACAGTTGATATACGTTTGAGAAGAAAACTTAATTTAGATCATTGCTTCATAGCATTTATCAAAACAGATTTCAGTTTAATTAAAAATAATTCAATGTTTTTTCAATGTCAGTCAACCTGTTATTTAAAAAATTAGAGAAGTGGCTCTAACCAGTTTGGCTCAGTGGATAGAACCTCAGCCTGTGGACTCACGGGTCCCAGGTTCAATTCTGGTCAAAGGCATTTACCTTGGTTGCATGCACATCCCCAGTAGGAGATGTGCAGAAGGCAGCTGATTGATGTTTCTCTCTCATCAATGTTTCTAACTCTCTCCCTCTCCCTTCCTCTCTGGAAAAAAAAATCAATAAAAAATTAGAGAAATGGCTATCTTGGCTGGGGAAGAGTTTTTAAAGTTGATATGTTAGAAGAAATTACATTAAAGGAAAGAAAAACCTGATTTTGTAAAAAATACTTAACTTCTACATTTCAAAAGGGCAAAGGAGAAAAATAATTTTGCAGAAATATGGCAAAAGATTAGTATCTTAAAAACCCTAAAATAGACAAATGAAATAAGGGTGTCCCCAAAAAAATATATACACATTTTAATAGCTGATAGCTCAGTTTTTTAAATGAAATTTATTTTAATAAACACTGTCTTTATGATTAATCAAAGAACTAGAGGCCTGGTGCACAAACTTGTGCACCAGTGGGTTCCTTTGGCCTGGCCTGCAGAATTGGGCTGAAACCAGCTTTCTGAAATCCTCCGGGGGATCCCAGATTGCAAAAGGGTGCAGGCCAGGCCAAGTGTACAAATGGGGTTGGGGAGGGATGGTGGGAGAGCTCCAGAGAATGTCTGGCCCATCTGACTCAGTCCCGATCAGCAGCAAACTAACCTACTTATTGGAGCGTCTGCCCCCTGGTGGTCAGTGCACCTTATAGCAAGGGCTTCAGTGGCCTTAGCATATCAGCATATATGCTTTGATTGGTTGAATGGCTAACTGAACAACCGGACACTTAGCATATTAGACATATATATATATATATATATATATATATATATATATATATATATATATATATATATATATATATATTTTTTTTTTTTTTATTGATTTTTTTAAAGAGAGGAAGAGATAGAGAGTTAGAAACATCAATAAGA